AATTCTCAATTGTAATGTGTTTTTTTCGGTGCAAATCCTCGTAATATAAGATGTCACAAAAGACAATTTTTTTTTAGTGTAGATAGAAAGGGTTCAAATTAAATATTAAAAAGAAACATCACTAACTTCTTATTATTTTTGGAAGAATATGGATCCATATCCTTTTGCCTTAAACATGTAAGTGATTTGAGTAGAGGAACATTGGCTTCGTCAGGCCCAATACCCACCAACAGGAACTCACTGGTGGCTGGTTCCTTGTCACCCTCCACTTAAACATAATTGAAGTATAATTTAAAATTTTAAAATACTAAATAGTTAACTTTTGATTCATACAGGACGTATTAAAGCATAATTGATTTTATTATTACAATAGAAAATCGACTTTATTAGAGTTAAAAATTTAGAACATGAACTTTGAAATACATGGGAGAGAGATCGAAATTTGGAAATTTCATATCCTTCAATCGCAAATTCAAGGTTTGAACTTGTTGTGAACTTGTAATATTTGGGGCGTTTAGCTGAGTTTTTTTTAATTGCATTAAAATTAAAAAAAAAAATTAGCCAAACATTCCCAATATTATTTAAGAATTAACTGTTTAATTTAATCAAAATAAAATAAGCAAAACAGAAGACTTCTTGTTCTTATCCTGTCTTGTGGATTGAGGCCTATTTCAAACTTATCTCCCAGGCCCAGAAAGTAGTACTGAGCCGGTGAGGCCGATTGAACCCTGGAGAGTAGAAACAGAAGCAATCTAAAATTCTAGATGGGCCCAACCATTTTTAGGACCATAATTTAGCCCCATTTTTTAGTAAGATTAGTCAGGTACTTACTTAACAGGGAACAGGGGGCTGGGCAGGCTGGATTTTTGACCCATCTTCATCTCTTTCTGTTTAAATCCAATCCCAAGAACAGGGCTTAGCTCTTTACCTTATCCATCATGATTTAATTTATTTATTTTTTAATAATTATAAAAAGGAAATAAATTTTGTTTCATAAGTGGAACACCATTGGTGCGTATTGTGTTTGACTCCCAATCCCCTTTTCTACCCCCGACTAAAGATATGTAATAATTGTAATGGGTAATTATGTTTGTTCAAAAAAATAAATAAAA